GTGACAAATTCCTTTTTACTGTCTAAACATTAATTGACTGATAAATAATTTTTACATGTGTTAAAAAAAGGCATTAAATATATTTTTTTTTTTATAAATTAAAATTCTGTTACATTTTAAATAAATTTGGTAAAATTTACTTTGTGACAATCCTTCCCCTCTCCGAGTAAGACTCTGTCCCAGAGTCTACAAATTAAAATTATAGTGAATAATATACATGTAAAATTAGATATACTTTAACATGATTAAAATTATTTGAAAGTTCAAATCATTTTGCAAAAAGTCACTGAAAGTTAAATCTTAAATTAATATCCATAAAAGGGGGCGTAATAATCTGTTGGTATGGAAGGCTGTCGGGATGACCAGACCAGATTTAACCTGTTTACCGGTATATATAAGGTATTTTTTATTTATTAATTTTTTGCAAACAAATATGAGATGCCAAAACGTTGATTGTCAAATAAATTTTTCATTTTCTTTTTAATTATTATTTATTCTGGTTTATTTAATCATGCCTAACAGCAAAAGTAAAATAATTAAGTTATATAACGTTAACACATACACCGTAATGCATTGAAGTTTCTACTGCTTTGAACAATCAATAGGATTTCTTTATCAAATTTAATTTTAAAGACACAGCAACAGTAAAATAATGTCAATAAAGATTTATTTCACATCATTTCTATATCATTTTTGTCGCTTTCTTCGACTGAGGCCGAAACGACTAGGTATCTAATGCCGAAATTGCTAGAGTCCGAAAAAACTTGAGGCCGAACAAACTTCGGGCCGAACTGAAGAAAGGCCGAAACAACATGCATCGTTCGCGAACGCATTGTCTCGCGTAATTATGCGAAAATAAAGTTCTCGTGAATAAAAAGTGATTTACAGTATATTCAAGTATTTTTTTAATGCATGTTATATCAAGGGATTTAGGTAAAAAATCTTTTGTAACATTCTTTTGATTTTATCATGAAGATTTATAATTTCTTTTGTTTGGTATAGAATCCTATTGTATTTGTTCCAAAAATATGATTTTGAAAAAGTAACTTGTGATTTTCATTTAAAAGAACTTACTTTTTTGCCATTATTTATTTAATAATTTGCTTTTAAATGTGTTTGAAAAATTATTAGTTATAATCAATCAGCTTTTGTGGCAGAATTTTCTTACATTTCCATCTCAAACTTTGCAGGAGAGAAGATGGTTGTGAAAATAGACAACATACAGTTCACAGCCAGCAACACTTTTTTCATGGACTACTTAATCTGTAACTGTCTAAGATCCGTAACTCCTGTCGTCATTACAGTCTCCAACATCTTCATCAAGTTAGTTGCAGAGTTAACTCTCTTTGTTTACATTTATACTAAAAATAGCTTTTTCCACTTTTTGCCATAACTTTTGAACCATAGGAGATAGGGACTTGCATCACAAAAGAAACGATCAAAATTTTAAAAAATATATATATTGGTTGTGTTATTTTTCAGAATAAGAGTGTTTCAATAACTGACTAATTCTGATACTAATATTTATAATAATTTTTTAAAATATATATCGGCTGAGTTATTTTCAGTATTAGATTGTCTTGATACCTCAGTTTGTAATCTTTGTAGTATATGACTTTATCTTATTCCAGGTCCGACCTTACAGTAGGTGATGAGGTGATGGACTCACTCGCCCCATTCATTGTTCTGAAGGGCCATGACACAGATGTAAGTCTCAGATTCTATTATCAGAATTTTGATAATACCCATGTAGTATTTATAACAGTAATTTGAAAGATTTGTTTGAATTTAATATATGCATGTTGTAATATTAAATAAAAATGTTTGCGATATATTTTAAGGAGGTTTATATACATTTCGTTTTAAGGACCCTCTCTACACAAGTGCAAATTTTTTTTTGGAGGTTGAGAAAAATATATTGTACAAAGGAGTTAATATTGTGCTTATTTATTTAATTTTCATTATATGGTGCATGGCATTTACCTCCCCAGGAAAAATGTTCAAGGACAACACAGTATCAGTGAATAGAAATCACTGTTAATTAATTCAGTAGAGAAAATACATGTAAATAACACGTTCAGTTAATTTATCTTGGTCTTTTAAAATGTTAAGAATATTTGGATTAATTACAAATCGCGTAATATATTGTAAATTTCTATTTTTTAGAAGTTAGATATAAGGGCAGATCACTCTAACTGCAGAAAAATACCTTAGAATCAGAACTCTTTAGTGTGCAGTGTAGAGAGGGTTCTTAATCTTGCTAAGGGCAGAGGAAATAAAGCAGAAATGAGGACTTTCTACAGTTTAAGCCTTTATATTTTTCAGATAAAATATGAGTCCAAATTCAATCATTTATCATAAAGTAGTTACATATTTAGACTAGGGATGTCAAATCGGTCAATTTTTAATACTCGGTTACTCGGACGTTTTTCCGATCGATTACTCGGGTACTCGGTAAAAGTGTAAATATGAAAAAGTAAATTGATAACTGTAAAACATATTGTAAACTATGGTAGAAATTAAACTTCTTGCTCTGATGGGAGGTTTCCCGTAAATGTGTTTCTGTTGTAACAATTATCAACACTTCTTGCACAACGAAATTTTTAAATATAACATTTTTTAAAAGTTCAATTTATTCATCAGATAAACACACAAAATCAAATCACAAATGGTTCACAGTGTTTTTGTTTAGAAAAATAATCTGCATCGTAATTGTAATGTAACTCTTAGTTGCGTTTGACGTCCAAGTTTCAATCGTCAGAGCTACAGTATCAACTTGATCAAGTTCAAACAGGGGATTTTCGATCTTCTTACACTTTTTCGATCCTAGACTTTATAGTATTACGGGACGGTATGTTGTAGTTTGGTGTAACGATGGACATCAGTTTTTTTTTAAGCCTTTGCCTTCAACCATTTGCATTGGCATGTAATCAAACGCAACCATATCAACGATCGCACGTGTATTATCATCTGTCTCTTTTCCCGAGAGTTTACGGCCTAGTGGAGAAATGACAAATTTATCTAAATTATTTAATTATAATTGACCTTAAATGATGTTCAGTGAAAACAAATATTTAAAGCAAAGCAAAAATAAGGGTAGAAGACTACCGAAGGTGAGAAAAGCCAGGTAGCAGGTGCTTGGTCACGATAATTACTGTATAAACACTGGCACAGGCGATAACGGTCATTAAGAGGTGTGGGAAACCCTAATTACCGTATGTACAAGTGCAGTGAACATTTGCTGTTTAAAACCGATGTTTTAATGCATTAATGAATTAGCTTAGAAATATTCAAAAATATACATCCAAGTAACTGAGTACCAATTTTAGTGTTCGATACTCGGACGTTCGATCGAGTACCCGGTTAACTGGGTACTCGTTGACATCCCTAATTTAGACACATCCAAAAATAGACTACCTGTGAAGGTGGATTTTTAAGTAGTTTGGAGGTTTCTAGAAAATTTGAAATGTTATTCATATTTTAAAGTTCAGTCTTTTTTAGGTTGAACTTTTCAAAAATGACCAAACTTTGCAAGTCTGTTAATGAAACAATTTTCTCATTAATGTTTATGTAATTCATTTCATTTCATTTAAGTAGGTGGTTTTAACTTACACATGTATGATACTGCTTGTTTTCAAAAACTCCAATTTTCGTGATGTAGACTTTTATAATTGAAAAACTAAAAGAAAACATTTGATAGATTGTGGCTAAATAAAGTGTTTGTGAACCAGTTTCTTATTTTCTTGTTTAATTCCAGACACTTGAAGGTCTTTCACTCAGACAGCTGGAAGAAGGTATATTCTTCATGGTTTCACCAAATCTGAAGAAGTTCACAAAACTACGTTCACTTGACCTCCAGGACTGTAACATATACTTACAAGAAGGCAAAACAAGGAGTAGGACCATAGGAAGGGCCATTATGGTCAGGACTTTGTCGTGCTTTGAGAATCTAGTCCGGTTAGATCTGAGTTTCAATTACTTGTTGGGATGTTTGGGAGAAATTTTGGACTCATTAAGGCTTCCCTTAGAATTTCTAAGTCTTCGGAACTGTGACTTGAACGATCATGACTTGGAGTGCTTGGGCAATTCAAAACATGCACTTTCATTGCAGGAATTGAACCTGAGCAAAATTTGTCAATTTTCGATTTATGACAATGACAGAATTTCATCCATAAACTTGTTCAAGGTTGTGTTTTGTTTCAAGAATGTTAAGCTGCTCAACTTGGCACAGAATCACTTTCAGGATGCCTCCATTCCAAATTTCTGTGAAAAACTTCCTCAGAATTTGGAGAAACTTCAGTACTTAGACATTGCTGGAAACGTGCTAACAGAGGAAAGCATTCTACAAATATGCAAAGCTCTTGCCAAATTGAAGCACTTTCAGTGGTTTAGACTAACGTGTTCAACCAATCTTCTAGACGAAGCTCTGGGACATTTAAACCAAGCACACGAAAATGCTTTGCAGGCAAAACTTCGAATTTGTAACCTGTTGTCTGCTTTGGGAAGGAAAGATATCCACATCGAAATAGTGAGATTGTCCTATGCAATATTCGTTGATCTCATGGATGTAATGGAAGTATAAAAATTACTTGTGCTGTAGGGCATAGTTCCTTTTCATGCATGTGTACATGACATTGAAAAAAGGGTCACTTAATTACATTTCCATTGTGTATATAAGGATGACAGTATTCATTGTTTTTCCCCTCATTCCTGCTGGATCATAAATATGAAAAGAAAAAAGCCATTTGATATTGTTTTATTTTGTATTTTGCATTATTTGTATTCTTTTTACAGAATAAACAGTATCACAATTATATTGCATTTGTTTAAATATTAAACAAAACTGTTTAGATAAAACAAACATATGACCAACATAATGACTGAGACAATTTCTTTTATCATATCAAAAATTGACATAACATTTGATATAATATTAAACACAAAGATATGAGTTACAAGCTCAGTCAAAAATGTCTTGTGAAGCTCTGTTTACCGGATAGACTAATAAAGGCAATACTGGCATGGGCAAGTGTTTTTATGAATACTGATAGGTAAGAACATGCACAACAATATTTCGTTGCTTTGGCACATATAATACATAAAATTCATTCATTATAGTGTTTCTGCAGAGCTTGCAACAACAAGTTTGAACGAGTCTGAAGCGTCATTCTGTAGAATATCCTCGCACATTCCTGAGGTAACAATTTACAGATGAATACATCTTTTTAGCATTGTATTTCAGTCTGGTTTTCTAAGTAAACAACAAAAAACAATAACAAATATTTAATAAATATGAACGGATTTCTGTGAAATGATAGTTTCTGTGGCAAAACATTGTCACTATGATGTAGAAAATAGACGCTTTCCGACTCTCTTCAGTCGAGTTGTGTATTTCTCGACATCTCTGTTCAGATTTTTTAGCAATCTCCTGTGTCCATTTCTTCGTTTCTGATATTTTCTATATTTGGACATTTTCAGAACTTCTTGGGGTTTCCTTTTAAATAGATCTAACATTGATTTGGCTTCCTTGTACTTCTGATAGTACCTTTGATACTTTTTAGGTAATTTGCTCACGTCCTCTTTCCCCCATTGTGAAACGTCCATAGGATTGGTCGTGGTAGGGTTTGCTGACTTGGTCGTTTTTAGTGAAGGTCCTTGTGTTGTTTTTGGTTCGATATATGCTACTGTGGGTGCCACTTCGGACAAGGAGACCTTTTGTACATTACCAGTGGATTCAAACAAAGACATTGAAGGATTGGTATACAAGTTGAAAGATGACTTCGGAAGAAGATTATATTTGACCTCGTAAATTCTTGGAACAGGTCCTTTCTTTGTAGTGTAAAATGAGTGCAATCCTATCTTTGGTGATGGGTTGAAAGCCAGGGCAGTTGTGGGTTGTTCCTGAGCTGTAGTGTCAGGTAGGAACTTGATTTTGCTGGCTAAGGTGAATCGAGGATTAGGCGTTTTGGGGGAAAGAAGAGAGCCGTGATGGAAAGGAATCTGCTTCAACCAACTGAATTGTTTTCCTAGTTTGCTCTGAAATTGAGAGAGGAAAGACGGGCCAGTACCAGGCATGAAGGGGTTTCTGTTTTCCAAAACAGATTTTGCCGAAAATGTCGTCGTTGCTGAGGGTGTTTTAGTCGAAAATACTGGAGTAGGAGAAGGCATGGCTTTCTTTGTGGTCTTCTGGACATGGTTTTGATTAATTTTGGCGGCCACACTATTTTCAATAGCTTTCTTGATATGGTGGAATAAGCCCGACTTAGTTTCAGTTTTAGATGTCTTTTTGGTTGTTTTTGTCTTTGTTTTAATAAGTGCCATCTGTGCAGATTCAACTGTCTGTGTTCCTCCAATGCTTATATCAGCACAGTTTTTAAAGACTTCTTGAAGGCCGCAGCCTAAGCAGCTTGTTCCATTTTTATCTGTGCCCCAACTGTTTCCTAAAAAAGACAAAATAGACTTTCAGAATAAGATTCAAAGTTGTTTTTATTTGAAAAAAAAAGAAAAAAGGAAGGACTATTACTTGTGTATCTCAGTTAAACTCATTTTTTACCTGTGTTGTAAGTCCATTGTAATACGCATTGCTCACACCGTATCCCTCTTGGAAGGAGCAACGTCAGATGGTACTTGTCTTTTCCAGTCTCGATGGGATTGTCTGGGTAGTAGCGAGTGTATTCACTTTCAGGGGTGCCTTCCTTGATGATCATGAGATGTTCGTCCAGACACTGCTGAGACACTGGTCTGCGGATATCATTGTGGGGACAGATCCTGAACTCGAAATACCCCATATGATAACTTGTGATCTGAATTGTCGTTTTCATTTCGGTGGATCCGGCGGGAAGTTGCTCGACAATGATTCCTTTGGCATATTTTCCACCTGCTTCGTGTTCACGAGGACCTTTATAAGCGTCTCCACAAACACCACATTTTCCACCAGTTTTAATGTATTCCTGCAAAAAATGAAAAACGTCATTAAATGAAATATTGAGATAATGAACAGTATTCAAACTCACATATCCATTCAAACAATACAAATTAGGAGCAGAGATAACATGGACCCCCTAAAGATATTGGATCAGGTGCCATGGCGAAGTGACCAGTCCCTGCCAATCTGTCACTTTGAATTATTCATGCTTTATTCGGAATGACAGGGAAGTTATGAAAAGTATTTTGAAGTTTACCTCTATTCCGCCACAGAAAAGTCCATTGTCGTCATAGTTCGGGGGAGTGTCGTATCCGTATCGCCAGAGTGACCCCCTTTGAGGAGGGGACAGAAGCAATCCATGTTGGCTACTCCGTCCCAACAGTGACGCCAAAGTCAATCCAATAACGAGGAGTGAGGAGTACATTTCTACAAAGAGAATAAAGTGTATCATTAATAAATATGAAACACAACAGAAACTAACCACATCTGAATGCACTGTTCATGGTTTGGGGACTTTTTTTCTTACTGTTGGAGGGTATTGTCCGATGTAAGATTTTATCTTTTTAATGTTTGCACATTTCACGACTTTTTCAAAAGGTGATATTAATTAAAGTGTGTAGTAATTAAATAAAACACGATTTTTATTATCTTTTGAATAATTGAAAAAGCATAGAAGCGACTTATCAATCTTGACACCACGGTTTACCATAAAATAATTAAAATAATCAAAGTTCTAAGTTAACATGATCTATGACATTCAGAGGCCACAACATGATTTTCTTAATCGACTGTGGGTTTTTTGTTATTGAAAGTGAATGATCATAGAAAATTTCAGTATTTATTATAGCTATTAACGTAGACATTGTATATCTAATTCTTTGCTTAGTTTTGTGGGTTAACTTACTAACATTTAACTTTGATATTGATATATTATACTTAATGTTTAAAGAAACTGTTTTTTTTTAAAATGATGTATCTGTAACAGTTGTTATTTTTTCTTTAATCGAATTATCTTGCTTGATTAAAATACAAATCATTCAGTGATAAATACTGAGTTGATTTCAAGAAAAAAGAAAGACAAAATGAAAATATGGCATCATTAGTTTTTATATAAGACTCTTTAATGGTACATCTTTTTCTATGCATTTCATTCTAGACGGCTTCATGAATATACATGTGGTAAGATACGGCGCCAAATTATTTTTTAAATGTAAAATTTGTCCTAACAAAACTCATGTTCTTTGTTGTTTTGACAGTTGATGTGTGACATCAAAACAGTTTTGATGGAATAAAATTTTGTAAATTTAATATTAAAATTCCTTCACACTTTCAAAACTTCCAGTAAACGGTTCTGGATGTCACCAATTTGAATTTTGTTCTCTCGGCATCAGAACATTTTTCAATAACTTATTTAGAGAATTTATGAAGAAAAAAAAAATTAAAAGTCATCCTTTTAATTAAGTGCTTCGGGCATTAGAACAGATTTCAATAACTTATTAATTAAACGTTTGACATGTCTGAATATATTTGTCAAATGGACAAAAATTACCATTTCATAACAATATCCAAGACATGTGGTTTTAGTGTTTTATCTCAACAAATTGCAGGTGCAAATCTACTTAAATAAAATTTTCATTTCAAAAAGAAAATACCACCGCAGCCAGAGAAAATAGTTTTTAGACAATGAATTTCAAGAACTTTCTATAGAACATGGATGTCTTGGCCGAAGTTTTCAGTTTGGAACTTATTGAACAAATGTTCAGTGATTCTGAGCATTCATGCTTGATTTGGAACAATTTAGAACATTTTTTGAGGCCGTTTGATGTCATGTCATTGCCCCTTATTTAAAGGTTATTGACCAGAACTTCAATCTATAAAAAAGCCATCGTGATACTAACTAATTCCCAATTAAAAATGTTATATACAGAATTAAAAGAAATGTTTATAACAAAATATTTATTAATGAAAACCTCAGTTTGTATAAATAATTATTAAAGTTACTACCAATGGAAATGATCTCAAATCATTATGGTGTTTATTAATGTAATTATTATTCTATCTTTGTTAATTGAAATAAAACTGGCAGATTAAGTTGTGATGTGGTATTTTAACATATAAGAAGTCAATGTTCATGTCTTTCAATTGTAACCTCAAAATGAATAATATTTTTGCCATCAAATGTCATCATTATCTCAAATTTTTAGTGATATAGTAATTCATTTCCTATATCATGTATATAGCTCACGGTTATTAAAAAAGATTACTGCAAACATAAAATTCAAAAGAGGGTCCTCAAGAATGCTTTCTCTTATGATTGTTACTGTGTGGCTGGAATAATTTGTAGATTAACTCTTTTAAGATTTATGAAGTTTCACGTTTTATGTCTCCCCTCTTCGAACGAATGTCGTGTAGCAAAGCGGAAACCAACACGGCTTGCGGTTTAAAGCTTTGATTTATGACCAAAATGTGCAAATAGTCACCCTCTTCTTAATTTCTCATTTTTCATTCTAGCTGTCAGCTGCATGTTTAGAGAAGGTTTTAATCATTTCTTGACAAGCGCTGTATCTTTTGAGAAAAAAGTAAAAATTTTATGAAATGTTATATAATATGCCTTTTTTAAAAAGGTGGTTTTGTTTCATAAAATAAAAATGTTGCTTAAAATTTATTAATATACAGATGATAAAAGATTTCGTTAACCAAAAGTGACAAAGACGATTCTTTTTATAAAGCGAAGATATTAGTCCCCTTATTCGCATGTAATGATGATGCTGAACAGCTAGATGCATTCATATACATGTACATATATATGAAAGAAATTTGTTGAAATATTTTTAGTGATTCTAGTGATTCAAATAAATTTCAGCTGCAGGAATAATCGACCTCAAAAAAAAAAAAAAAAAAAAAAAAAAAAAAAAAAAAACTACTTTTCTTGAGTATGTTCTGGAATGACAGTTTCGGAGTTTATGGGCATGTAAATGTTAATGTTTTATTTAAGTTTTACATACAAAAACATTTTTTTCAAAAAAGTAAAGAAGCACTCGTTGAATGCAACTTTAATTAAAATGTATACAATTTATAAAACTTGCAATATATTTTTTTGTAAAGTTTTAGATTGAATGAATATTTTTGAAAAGGGAGATTCTCTTCTATTTATTTGATTATGAATCAGACCGTTTTCAAAAAGTCTATAAAAATTTTGTGTACCAATTCAAAATTTTGTACATGTGTTAGAAATATTGAAATAAAAAAATGTACACAATCATTATAAAATAAATTGTTTAGTCTTCTCTTCCCTGAGCTAGACTCCATACTATACATTTTTTTTTGCATGTACCATTAACATTATTTTGAGAGAATAACGTGTTCTAAATTCAAACTTTAACAATCATCTGAATTTTTTTTTATTTACAAAATTTTTAAAATATAAAATATTATTTATAAAAAAAAAAAAAATAGTCCTTACCTGTCGGCGCTCTCAATCGAAATGCAAACATTATCTAGAGAAATATATCTTTTCAAGTCGTTACATACCTTTGTCAACGTATTCATATTCAACCTGGGGTCAGAGTTCACACAGGAGACGCGAGAGGAGATAAGTACAGCTTAGTAAAAACCCACAAACCAATACGTGCTTCTTGGGGAGAAGTTTCTAAAGGAATTATTACCTATTCTGTCAATCAGGATTTGACGTTTTCACATGATTGCCCCAATATTGCTCCTAATGAAATATTACCTTCAGTTAACAAGGGCATAGAATTTAATTAGGCGACGAAATTATTAATTATCTGTTTACTAATTACTAGATTACGACATGTAACGAGGTTCAAATATTTTATTGACTTGCACTTGTCGTATAGACTGACGGCCCATGGGGTTGCACTGGAGTGTAAGAATCTGGGTTAGAAATTATTTATTAATCTATGTTAGGAGTTTATTATTCATTATACTTACACTTTCTTCTCTGTTATGTTTTTGTATTGTACAGGACATGTTATGTTGGGTTTCAATTCACTTTCATATTTTGTATTTTTGGATTACTCAAAGCAACTTGAATAACAAGAACGTAAAGTATGTTTTTTCTAAAATAATATTAAATCAATTTTTTTTAACCTAGATTTTTGGTCAAGGTTTATTCAAGTACACGATAATTTTTTTTTTCGCAAATGTTGTGATTAACTTTGAGATATAAGAACTCTGGAGAGAAAATTTTTGTCAGTATCTCCAATGTTATGGTATTTGGGTGCTTAAGAAAATGCTTGAATAATGAATTATATATCATAATTTTATTTCCAATGATGAATTGTGGACAATCGATAAGACCCCCTTGAAACTAAGAAACAAGTAGAAATGGACAAATAGAAATTGCCCTATTATAATTTTACAAATTATAATATTTTCAGATTATCACCTTTATAAGAAGTTTATGTATCCTAGGTGTTCGACACGCAAGAGAATGCTCTATGTACATTTTTTGAAACAAGACAAACCGCTGACAAATGAATTGATGAAACAAGGATATCAACAAAAAATTGATGAAACAAGGATATCAACAGTAAATTGATGAAACAAGGATATCAACAAAAAATTGATGAAACAAGGATATCAACAAAAAATTGATGAAACAAGGATATCAACAAAAAATTGATGAAACAAGGATATCAAGAGTAAATTGATGAAACAAGGATATCAACAGTAAATTAATGAAACAAGGATATCAACAGTAAATTGATGAAACAAGGATATCAACACTAAATTGATGAAACAAGGATATCAACACTAAATTGATGAAACAAGGATATCAACACTAAATTGATGAAACAAGGATATCAACAGTCTCATTAAAAGTAAACATTTTGCAAATTCTATGGTATGGTCGATCTTATGTCATTCTTAGCAAAAACAAGCTACATGTAGCATTATATTGAATGTTGTCTGACGTTTTTCATACAAATTGTTAGGCAACTTAATCACACTAAATTGTCTACGGATTTTTCTTTTTTTTTCAGCCGGCAGAGTATGCTTACTCCTGACTGGCACTTAATCCCATCTTGTTTGCTCTGCTTCTGACCTGTATTGTTTTAATGGTTTTGTGAGCATGATTAATGTATCTTTATATTGCATTATGTTCAACTCGTATGATAAAGTCTCATCATTCAAAGAAATAGTAGCACTGTGAACATGAAACCTGTTGTACTCAGGAACAAACTGTATCTAAGCCTCCAAATTTTGTTTTACGTTACTACATCCATACATCAACCATAGACAGAGCATGATATATTACGATAACCTTTTCAATCCTAGTAATTATAATAAATTCTGACTATTATCTTTTCCGTTCTTGTCAGTTTTTTTCATTTCAGAAAATAAGATTTAAACAAATTAATGTATATAAATTGTTATATATACCAAATTTTACAACAACGATATATTTCTCTTATTTCAAGTTCTGAAACAACCGATTATATTCTGCGCATAGTGACAAGAGAGAGAAAAATTAAGTGCAATTTATTTTCTTACGGATATGGTCGAGGAAAAAAGAACAAAACGTGCGTTTTGCACTTGTTGATTACAAATTGTAATTTACAAGGCGGAAAACAACGATCGTTCGTGTTCTGGACAATTGAATACACACTCTTTCATGATTCGTCTTTGTAATTGAATGCCCAAACCCTATTTTACCTTGATTTATCTTTCAAATGGGATTTAGAAATTGAATTTTTTTTCATTGATTTATTTTTCATTGTTTCGCTAAAGGAAACTGAAATTTAGATCTTAGTAAAAATATCAAAAGGCAAAATTGTTATTTGGTAACTGAACTTAAGGACCTGAAATACTTAAAAGAAAGAAAAATAATACAGAAAAGTTCAAAACAGTCTGTACCTTATTTTCGATATAACACATATTTTTTCATGAAGCTTTCCTTTAGAGTCATCCTATCATAATACAATTGAAGATTAGAAAGACATTTCTGTAAAAATACTTTTATATGATCAAAAACAATAAAAATAAATTGTCAGCAAACACAATTTATCATTAGATCAGATGCTGACTGACGTTTTTCACACTGATTGTATTTAGCCATTATTTATGCATTAAGATTTCTATCGATTAACGACTACCCGATCGTGGCAAGGGGCATACGGCGGATCTTTCTGGTCGACACTGGATGCTTACCCTTTCATTGCACCCGATCCCGCCTCTGATGTTTTTTTTAAGTCCGCGTTTGCTGCACACGTGTTTTCGATTTTTATAGTTTCAATGGTTTTTGGAGTTTGAATAATGTCCATTATTATTTCCATATGTTACACAGAAAGAAATATTTGGGACTCAAAGGGTTTTTTCTTTATGTTTTTGCATTTCGATATACATGTAAAGGTGTATTTTGGAAAGTGTGCGTGATAATAAGATGTGTTAAAATGCAAATTTTTTGATAAAATAATTTTTCTATATAATCTGTACAAATTGCTGTACAAAATTCTAATTTCTATCGCATTGTATATCAAAAATATATTTTACTACCCTTAGTCTTTTACATGCATATATATACTGCAGAAATAATTCGGGGATGACCGTTTTACACAGCACGTTGAAAAATGTATTATTCTATACGTTTTTAAAAAGATTCATTTTGACATTTTTCCCGGATCTATGTAATCATCTACATATTAACTGTAAATAATAATCAACCATGTCCTACAGAGTAAAAATGTAGAGTTGACTACGTGTAAAACAACCAAAATTAAGTAATAAAAAGCAAGACAAACCACAGAAAAGACCAGGTGAAAAGTTAGCTCAATGCCATGCACCGTACTTGACATTTTGGCCTCAACCTACTTCTGTTTGAAAGAAAACCAGGTCAGAAATTTAGTTGAATATTAATGTCTTTCTCACTCGGACACCATGGTCATCCTCTGAGATTTTTAAGAGTTTGACCCGTCCTCGGGACATCGAATGCCTGCTTAAGAGGCCATTTGATTATTCTGTCACCGTAATCTCGGTCCCTGACACATTTACATAAATCACTAGTCATTGCGCCTGAATTGTAACTTTGATCAATCGTGGATCATATATTAATTAATACGAAGGATGAAATAAAGCCAATGAGATGAATTGAATATAAGGTTAAATGCACTCTCTTCTTGTACGTAGAAATAAATGTTTGGTATATTGTCCTGAAAGCACTCACATACGATTTTCAGGCCCAAACGTTACTTTTGGATAGATAAATCAAAATAAACTGTTAATGCAACAAGAAAATTCTACTATTAAAAGAAATTCAAAACTTTTAATTAATTTGTTAAATGTAAATATTCACTTAAAAAAAAACACGACCTTGGACTGTCATGTAACGCTGTACATGTACATTTCAATTGTTAAGCTATTGTTTTATACACTAATTTGGACTATGGATTAGTACTTGTTTTACCAGATCAACACAGAAGACTTATGAGGATATGTCTTGTCGACAGGGGATGCTCACTCCTTCTACACATCTCATCTTACAGCTGCTGCTGATCTAAATGGGACAATGTTTTTGTCTTGTTCTTGGTTATACCTTAATTTCATTTACATAAAAAGAGAAATTGATCACTTTTCAAGGCCTGATTTTAGTTCAAGTTAATGGACGTTAAAAAATCTAACTGCATAATGTTTTGTAAGTTAGAATATAACTGTGTCTTGATTAAACTTTGAAAATGATTTTAAGTGTCTAAATTTGTACTAATTAGTACTAATTACCACTTTCTACAAAAAAAAAGAAACAAAGGAGAATTTTGAATTGTTTGTTAAGGAATCTCCTTACCAACATATGAAGGATAAGAAGATAACAAACAGTATTCAATTTCAAAGTCCATAAAACAATACAACATAGGAGCAGAGCAAACACGGACCTCCAAAACAAAATCAGATATTAACATCACAGAAAATAGAGCACAGGTGAAGGCTAACCATCTCGGTGGTTCTTAATGCAAGAAAATATTATAAGATCTTTGGTTACATGGATTTTGTACTTCTTTCAACCAGTAAATAAACTACTACTGTGGAAGAATTTTGAATTTGAATAGACTGGTTTTGAGTTGATAGAACAATGTAATGCCAAATAGTGTTGTATTCTTAATATGTACCGTGTACAAAAAAACATTTTGCATGAAATTGTGCCAGACTAAGCAATATATCTACATGTATTTCAATCATTTGTTTTATACGTTGTTTCTTAAAAAAAAATATTTAATCATTTTTTACAGTTCTGGATAAGATATGCATTAAGGAGAGCCCAATGATAAATTTCCAAGTCCAATACAAGACGGTTTGTATTACACAAGATACCGAGAGAAAAAAATGATGTGAATAACTTTAATCTTTTTGGATTGTCAAAACAGGCATGAAAATTAAACTTGAAATGTTGTTGCTATAGGACACGATGTACCATTCGTAGATAAATTTAGACCACGGATTTACATAATTGCTAAAAAATAAACCTCATCCCTTTAATTTA